CTGTAGATTTCAAAAAACCAATTATGATAAGGACATCAGAATGCTTGCCTAGAAACAACGTGATCTGTTAGTCATGTTCTACTTTGCGAGTCCTGCAGACAGGGCCTACTGAGAAGTGTATTAAAATGAAAGACTGAACCAGAATATTGTTCCTACATCAATTTATAAAGCATGCCTTTTCTGAGGGCAGAGATTTCCTTAGTCCTATACCTTTGCTTACTATGAGAAAAAATAATAAATGGCTGCTATAGTAAACAGATACTAACTACGCAACAAGATAATGGATCAGCATGGGGGAAAGGTGACCAAGTTATATATTTCTAATAGACTGTACTTTGAACATACTGTGATAAGATTTTAAATTTTACTGTTTCAAGATAATAGAAAACTATTTCTCAGTACTACAGGTGGTCCTCGATTAATAACCACTTATTCAGTAACTGACTGGACTTACAATAATAGCACTGAATGAATGGTGCTTACGACTGGTCCTCAAAAGTTCCAGCCATTACAGCATCCTTGTGGTCATATGATTGCATGGCAACCTTCTTTGCCAACTTCCTGCAACCAAAGCCAATGGGGATGCTGGCAAGAGGTATAAATGATGACAAGACAGCCTTGCTTAAGGATGGCAACCAGAAAGTACAGCAACTGTCATAGCTAAGTTACATAATCATGTGATGCCAATTAGAAAGTAACCAGGATGTTGGAAACCTAACACCTTTTTTACCCAGACTCAAACTTTGCTCCATTTTCTTTTTCACATGCGTGCAAATATTTTTCCTGCAACCTTTTTGTGCTGGTACTGTTCTTTAAAGCCACATAAGGAAGGGAGCTTTGCTTTTAGATTTCATTTTTGCATGTTAACATTTTTCTCTGCCAATTTAATCTCTGTTAATACTTTGGGAATTCCACTTCAAAGAAATAGACATTTTTGTGATTTCTAGGTAACATCTGATATGCATAGTCAATGAAGTCCAGTGCATTAGGAATATTAATATAGTCCAATACAGAGCCCTGCCAACAGCAATGCCGATGGAAAGTCTAGAGTTGCTATACTAGCACATCTGCTAAGAGCCCAAAGACAGCCTTTTCTCACCCTTTTTCTTCTGAGCCAATTTCTGGTTGTCATCATCTCCATTTTTCTCTTCTCCTGATTCATCAGATCGAGTTTTCATGTTCTCTTTGCCATCACTTCCTTCCCCTTTCTCCTGCTCCCTCATATTTTTCTTAATATGAAGTTTCCGTAGAGATTGGGATTTTTGTGACAACTGCTGAAAATGATAGATGAGACATTTGAGGTACAGGAAAAGATAATCACAAATAACTTAGCAAAGTAGCAATCTTAGCTACAGTCTCACCTCAAGATATTGATTTATATATATTTATTTATTCCTATGTGGAGCCATTAACACCTTCAATAGTATCATATAGCTTGGCTTGAAGTCAAGTACATTACTGCAATTATAAAGCAGTAGTTTGTTCCCCAAAACAAGTATTTTTTTTTAAAAAAAAGAGACTATTTGCAAATTAGAGGGGAATGTGCATAGTTGGAACACATGCATTGCAAAAGCAAGGCTTTCACCATAGTTTCTAAATCGTTTTGAAATCCAGTAACAGTCACATTTCATCAATGAAGACAGGGGCAGGAGACAAAGACAAAGAAAGTCTGAGAGCATTTTACAAAGTTGTAAAGCTGACACTCTGCTGCCAAAACAAAAGGAAGTCCAAAGCAAGAAATATGCTTTAAGCATTTTTGTATTCATGTTCTACTTCCGGGTATTTGTCGCATCTACTCTGAAGAGAGCCAAGAGCATATTGCCAGTTTAAGAAGTTCAGTTTCTTAACCCACTTTTTTGACAGCAATTTCAACGTTGCCACATAGTAAGTACATCAACTTCTCTTCACTTTGGCTAGGTTTTAGAATGAGTTCCAGGCTCCTGTCCCAGAATAGCATTGCTGAGCTAGGGATGATGGTGGGCAGGGAAACCCTAAAAGGAAATCCTCTGCCTGGAACCTGTAATGAGCTATTCCTGGCCTTCTCCTAAGCACAGAGTTAGCACCCCCCCCTAAAAGTGTTGTTCAAACTGAACTTTAAGTTCTGTAATGGGAGGGAAATAGCATCTATATTGAAGCATGAAGAGATATTCCTGCAGTCTCCCTTCATTCTCTCCTCCCTTCATTCACCTATGCCCAGGTAATCTATGACTATAATTAAATGGATAATTTTTTAAATTATCTATTATACTACTTTTGATATAATGATGCATACATGAAGATCAGCAAGAATCTAGATAAGTAAAATATGGAATGTAGCTACTTTGTTCCTCTCTTTGTTCTAATGCATATACATGCACTCACATGTGTACAGTTTTCTAAACCCCAAGTTCTCTTCAAATTAATTTTAATAATATAAGGGTTTTTTTTAAGTTCAACTGATTATCTTCCTTTTGTGACATAATATTTGGAAATTCTGTAAAAGAACATTGAAGGCTTTCATATACCAAGGAAGTTCCATATAGGAAATATGCATATAAAAAATGGAAAAATGATCCAAATATATCCAAATTATATGAACAAAGAAACTTGGTGGATTAAAAAAAAAGTTATTTAAGTAGTGAGGACCTCTAGTGGTGATTTCTTTTTTGGATATGTGAGGAGTGCTTACATATACCACAAGAAAAACAGGCTTAGCAGAGTCATCACCCAAAAGTTTACAATAAAAAACAGGAAAATGAAAGTAAAGTGTTATTGATTTTAAAGAAAAAATAATCAAGGGAAGGAAAAACAAAAACAAAAATACTGAAGAAAGGATGGTACACAGGATGATAGGCCTCTTCATTTCATTTTAAGCTCTTTGTTGTGTGAGCATCTTTTTCTTTTTACTTAGTGAATGTAGAAGCCTCTTAGCCTTCCAGAAAGCTGTAAGAGCCTCATCCAAGAGTCAACTCAGAAAGGAGTTGAGTTCAGCACATATGTAGTACTGTGGGATTGTTATGGTGCCTGATTAGAATATGATGGTTTTTAATTTGGGTATGTGTGAAGAGAGCTGTTTACATTATTATGGGGTTTAATTGATTTTAACTGCCCACAGTTGCCATATAAACCTTTTAAATACATACATACATATATGTGTGTATATATATATATATATATGTATGTATTTGCACATTTTTCTATCTGCATGTCTCTATATTATAATTTACCCGTATGTACATCAAACAGCAAAAGCCCCAAGAACAATAGTCAGTTTTGGGCATCCTCTCTCCTAGAATGAAATGAAAAATATCCACTATAGGATGTAATCTGTACTGAATAATATGATGTAGGAGAAGCAGAAGCTACTTGAAGATTATTTTATTGTAGTTTTTGGAATATTCGCTGCTTTGAAGAGTTGTTTGATAGCCAAATTAAGTATCAGTAATAGTAGATGGTTACAATTATCAACAATAACAAAAGACAAAAATAAAACAAAATCCACACATCCAACATAAGAGAAATATCTTCCTTCTAGAACATATTCAGACTTTATTTTAATCAAATAGCATCAACCAATAAGCACAAAAATATGAAAATGAAATATGAATCTGCTGATATTTTAACAAGCTGCCTCATGGATAAGTAACACCCTCCTAAACAACAGAATTTATTGAGTTGGAGAATATTCTTAATTCAGCAACTCCATCAGTTCACAAACAGGCTAAACAGATGTGACTTTTCCCCCCCTGAATCAGAATATGTGCTTACCTGTATACTCTTGTGAGCTATTTCTCCTGGCGTTGGCCAATTTGTGGCATCCCCAAAGTCACCAACCTGATATAGTAAACAGAGAATACAGAATCAAGTTACCTTCTGTAAATTCAACTTTTGACTGTCTATACAAGTCTAGATTTAAATGCCTACTATTTCTATTCCTTCCAGTGGAATTTCAGATGTATACTACTACTATAGAGCATTCCAACCAGGTACAGACACATTTATACTATATATGCTTTATTTTGGTACTCTGTGATACAGAAAGCCAGAATTTTTAGTTTTAAAATTATGAAAAATATCACCCCATCCCTCCAGAGGACCCTCAGCCCCACCACAAATGTCTTTCTGCTTTAGAGCAGGTAGTAACTCAAGCACATCTACTTTACTAACTTTACACTTCTGCTTCACGTAGAGCTTATCTGTTTTTCAAGTTTCATTACCCGAAATGTATGTAATTCTCCTTCATAAATTTCTAATTTTAATTTCCTTTTTTGTGAGATGTCACTTAGCTGATTAAGTGAGTGAAGGCAAAATTGGTTTTCCCTTTATGAACATTATTGCAGCCTCTGTATATGCCTATATTTCTATGCATAGGAGGTTTCCATTTTATTGCAGACTCTTTTTATTTAAAAATAAATAAATACAGTAATGCTGTATTTAAATTTTTTGTTCTAGTATGTGTGCACAACTTACCGATGACTCCATGGGAAACAACGTAAAATACATTTAATAGATTCAAGATTTATTTATTTTCCAGACACAGTGCCACCTGGTGAGCATGATGATATTTACACAATAGCAATAGAGAATTTTCCAAGTCTTGTAAAATTAGGCCTGAAGGATCATTTGGGATTACTGCTTCCCTGATACAGCTACCATGTTTCCCCGAAAATAAGACCCTGTCTTATATTTTTTTGAGCCCTGAAATAAGCGCTTGGCCTTATTTTCAGAGAGGTCTTATTATTTTGGGGCGCGTGGAGCAAGATGGGGCTCCTCTTGCCGTCTTACCTGATTTCCAGCTCTGCGTTTAAATATTTTCGGGGGGGGGTATTTTCAGGGGGGAGCTTATTTTAGCGCATGCACTCAAAAGTCTGATTGGGTTTATTATCAGGGGATGTCTTATTTGGGGGGAAACAGGGTACTTGATTCTGTGGCCAAGTTGGCAGCAGAATTTTCTAAATTCATAGACTTGGGACACTTCAACCTGACTTTTCTAGGTATGAAATTGAACATGGCTCAGAATTCATGGCCATCACGATGACAATACGCTTGACCTACAGCTGTGATCATGAATCTGTTTTTTGTCTGGGGGCAGAGGTAATGTTATGCGATCCGATTATGGGGTAAATGCAGGAGTAGGTTCTACTTACCTTTACTACCGGTTCGCAGTGGAGCGCACGCGTCGGTGGGCGGAGCCTCCCACTGGTTTTACTACCGGTTCTATAGAACCAGTGCAAACCGGGGGCAACCCACCACTGGGTAAATGGATATAATTTCTTGTCATAGTGGACATCACTTTCTGTGTCAGAGTATTCCTGGGCTGTCTCCTAACTCAAGCAGTAGGATCTATTTCGTCGGTCCTTTGCAGATGGGTTTCAGGGGAGTCTGGGGTTTCCCTAACATTCTAGTACTTGAAATGACTGAAGTCTTAAAACTTGGAATATTCATAACTTGGAACAAAACAATGGGCTTTGGATCAGATTGCACTGTGTGGCTGCTTCTTGTTTGTAGATCCTACATAGCCCTTTGGAAAATAAAACAACAAAAGAAACACCTAGAGTACTGTTGGAGGAAGATAAGGAGTACATCTGACTGAACATGGGTTTTATTAAAGATTACATGAGGGTGCCAAGAATGACAAAATGTAAGTATGTATTGACTTGCATCATATCTGCAAATTGCCAAACAGTGGCCCTGTTTAAGGTCAGTTAACACCTCTTGGGGAGAGGGAGACTGGATAAACACCTGCAAAACTGCTGCGAGGAACATTTTAAGCATCTGTCGAATAAAATCATTTGAATCAGCTCTGAGCTGCACTCCATATGTTCAAGTCCAGTGGAGCTGACTGGAACAATCGGGCCTGATTATTTTGGATTAATTTAAACTTGTAGGTTCCAAAGAAATGCTCCTTGATATCCCAGCAGCTTTCAATACAACCGAGATGCTGTTGGGTGAAGCCATCCGACATCAAGGGGCCAGATACCATCCATAGTCTGATGAGACTCAATTATACATCTCCACCCTGACTCAATAAAGTGATGTATCAAGATGTTTTCTCAGTGTCTGGAGGCTGTGCGAGCCTGGATGAAAAGGAATAGTTACAAGTTCAACTCTGGTAAAGCTGAACTAAGCACTTCATCTTTGGCTCTGATTAAGGTAGCACCCCCTAACACAACTAGTCCTCTTACACTCTTGTTCAAGAAATAGTTGAATAGCTATGGCCAAGAGAAACTTTGCACAAATCCATCTTGTGTGCCAACTGCTCCTATTAAATTAGGAGGCCCTATTTACTATCACTCATACCTTGAACATTTCCATTTGGACTACTGCATGGGATTGCCTTTAAAAACCATTCCAAAGCTGCAACTGGTCCAGAATTCAGCAGCATAGATATGCCTCACTTTACCCACATATCATCTCTCTGTGAGCTGCACTGGCTCCTAGTGCACTTCCAAGTACAATTCAAGGTTCTGGTTAACACCTATAACTCTCTTCACAGCAAATGGCCATTTTATTTGCAAGACCAGTCTCCAATGTCCCTTTGTCCCATAAGGACTATCTAGCAATGTGGCCATGATCCAGCCCTATCTATTAAACCATGTCATCTAATGGGACTAGTAAAGCGTGCTCTCTTTTTTGGTCATAGTACCTGACTTAGGTAACGGCATATCCTGCTAAAATTGGGATGGCCCTGACCTTGATGGCCTTTTGTGGGGTGTTAAAAGATCCAGATTTTTCCTTTAGCAATAGACCCATCTCATTCTGAATTATGATTATTGCATTTCTTAAGGGGCTGAGTGGAAAGTGCAATCCATTTTCTTATATTCTTTTTCAATTTATTTTTATTGATATTAGCCACTTAAGGGTTGCATTTTGATTGGGAGGTCATATAAATCTATATAATTAATAAATGTACAGGAGGTAAAGAAAGCACTATGTCCTCTGTAAATCTGAATCACTGTTCTCTTCATCAGATGAAAAAATAATAATTCTAGCAAATATATCCTCCCAACTAAAAACTGGATCCATAGTAAGTAGTGTCTCTCAAAGATGGCTTCTATAAACATACAGGTCCTGTTGTGTTGCAAGAGGGAACTGAATTTACAGAACTAATGATTAGAATTGGAGAGGGTAAGTCTTCACAGTCAAAATAACAGAAGTGCAGTTGTACAACCTAGTTTGGCTAAATAAGGGAATACTGTGGCATTATCAGATAGAGTTGCTGAAAATTTTAGGGTTTAATCAATCTAGTCCTAATACTTCTCTGACACAAAAAGCACAGACCTTGTTCCTATAGGCTTCCTGCCTTTATTCTAATGCTGTATTATTTTATTTATATATCAAATTTAGAGACTGCCCATCTCACTCACAGAGAGATTTGATTATTCACTAGATCCTTAAAAGAAACCATGTGCCATATTTATCATGAAATCATTAGCAAAAAAGGATAGCGATTTGAAGAAACTTAACAAATGTATCAACTTTTACAGCAGGCACTTAAAAAGAAACTGGTAGAATGAAGCTAATGAAAAGAATTTGGTTACTCTTAGATAACTGTTAGATGGGGTCATCAGTCACACAAAGGATACATTTTTATAATAATAAAAGCTACATTTTTATAGTAATTCATGTTCAGGCCACAAGTTCAAATTCCTAGATATTTCAGACAGTCCTGGAAGAACCAGAGGTGAGAACAATTTAATTTAATTTAATCTATGATTTCATTCCGTCATCTGATGCAAAATCTTTGATGAAACAAAAGATAATGGGAAATAACCAAAATGCTATTCCCATTTAGCATAATTACCAACAGGAAACAGTGTCCAACAGTCACATTTGAGTATGAAAGGGAAACTTGCTAAATTAGGGTAATTCTGAGAGACACTGAAAGGAAGAGCCAAGAAGACTAAAACTCTTCATAATGTTTGGAAGTTTTTCAAAAGCATAATGATTATGATTTAACTGGAAAGCATCCAACAATGTAAGAAAAGGTCAACTAAAGATAAAAAGAAGCCAGCATTGCTCTCTAATACTACCCAGATTGTGGCAAACTTCAATAAAAATCCTTCTTTAAGAAAGAGAATGAAAAAGCACAAACACTGCAGAAGAGTGTCAAGTTTTAATAAGCAATGCAGAAAAAAAGAAACATCACCATGCTCTTTTGAGGAAAGCAAAGGAAAAAATAGGGGGAGGCAGTAACAACGTATTTAAAAATCAATTATAGCAAGATCCCGTCCAGGCTGGATTGTTGGATATCCAAAAGTGTAAGAAATATTCAAGAGGCTATGGAGATTACAGACAAAGTAAATGAATATTTTTTTCCATTTGGTGTTCATTGTAACAGATCTGGGATAAATGTCTGTACCCATATTGACTCACTCAGGGAAGGAATCCAATCAACCAAGAAAACTAAGTAACAAGAGATTCTTAGATATCTTGAGAAATAAATCTCCAGACACTGATTTATTTATTTACTTATATTTCAGATTTCTTAACTGCCCATCTCCTTCAGAGAGGGAGTCTAGGCCAATGATAGCTAACCTTTTTGCCATCGCGTGCCAAAAGCGTGGGGAGCATGGGGGGGGTTGTGCGCACACGTGCTCACACCCATAATTCAATGCCCCCACACACCCCCGCGCATGCGCACGCCACCTCCCTGCGCTACCCCTGCTTTTGGCAAGTGACAGCAAAAAGATTAACGGTGGGCCCGGTAGGCCCGTTTTTCACCCTCCCCAGGCTCCAGAGGCTTTCTTGGAGCCTGGGGAGGGTGAAAACAGCCTTCCCCACCCCCCCAGAGGCACTCCGGAGGCCGGAAACGGATCGTTTCCCGACTTCCAGTGGGCCGGGAAGGCCCAAAAATCAGCTGGCCGGCGCACTGGAGCTGAGCTAGGGCAAGCTCACGTGCCCACAGATATGGCTCTGCGTGCCACCTGTGGCACCTGTGCCATAGGTTCGCCATCATGGCTCTAGGCAGTGTAGAGGGGTTCTGGGCAGTGTTTACCAGAATTATTAAAACTAAATTGTGAATTCCAAAGATAGCAAAATGCAACATCAAGTTTTTACAAAGAACTTGGAGAGATTCATGAAGTTATATGTCAGTCAACAATGCTTGTTCCAAATCAGTTGTTAGAAATAGTATTTTTTTAAAAAAACCTAATAATAAAACACATCATAGAAAATTAGCACAGATTCTGGAAGAGTAAATACTGTTTCACCAATCTTCTAGAGATTTTTGAGAGTATCAAGAACCTGTTGACATTGCATATTTAGATTTTTAAAAAGTTTTTGATAAAGTTCTTTTTGTCTATTTTTGAGTAAATGGTGAGCATGTGGTAAGATGATCTGTCCTGTTATTAATTCCTAAGTAGTTAAAAAGACAGAAAACACAAAAGCAAGAATAAATGGACAATTTTATCTATGAAGAAAAAAACTGGAGTCCTTTTAAAGAACCAAGCCACAGCAGTGTTTCTAACCTTTTCATAAATGACTCAGGGGTAAAGCAGACAGCTGATCTTTATGGATTATTCTAAAATAGTCAAGATTTTGAAAATTAAAAGTAATTGTTAAATTGCAAATGAGCTTTGAGAAAGTGATTCAATTTGAACAAATATAAAGTGATGCATTAAAAATTGTAATGTCGCATTAGGTTCTCTCTAGAACTAGCCAGTTCATTGTGATGTACCATGCCTCCATTCCCCTTTCCCTCATGCAGATATTATTGGATAAAAGAACATGTTAGCAACATACCTTGCTTCCTTTCCTCTGCCTTAGGTTTGCTGCTTTCACCACTTTGGCTGGAGTTGAATGTTCTAATAAAAATGGAGAAAAGTCAAACATTATAATGGTATAATCATTACTGAAATAATCTAGATTTCTGTACAGAAAATGCAATTTCCATTTCTGATTGAATCATTACACCTAATCATATTTCACAATTGGCAGTTATGCAAGGTTTATCTCTTTTTTACTCCACCCCAAAATAAGAAAACTTAATGTCATGCTTCAATTTATACCAAATTGAACGTGTAGAACTGCAGATTCACCAGGATTGGATAGTGTGTCCAGGCTATAAATCTGTTCACTGAAAAAAAAAGGGGGGGGGGACTCTAAAGTCTGAATCCATGGGTAGTGACAGAATCATCCTTTATCTAGCATCCTTTCTTTGCAGGAACTGCCAGTGAAGCTGATAATTTGAGTCTCTACAAATATTAAATACTGAAACAGTATTACAATTTAATATATATCTAGATATATGCAGTCCCCACCCACCTAAGCAAAATCCAAAATTAAATCATGCTGCAAATTTCAGAATATTTTCTTAGTATTCTTCTGAGTTTCAAAAGTGTTCTGTTACAATAAAAGAACTGCAGGAAAAAATGTAACAATATACTTTGTTCACCAACAGAAAAGAGAAGAATAGAAGGTCCTGAACTTATTTACAGATAACACACAACCAGTTGAATATGCTCTCATTTTCATATTTGGCTATCAGTTTAGAATAATAATTTTCTAACAACCTTAATAGATGAAGTATGAGCAGTATGAACTGACTTACAAATCACATGCCAAAGAAATTCATAATAACAATGTCATAGATAGTAGAGTTTTAGAAAAGAGAACACTCATATTTTTCATAGATTTCTTGATTTAGAATACCATCTATAAGGTATTGTTTTCTTCCTAACTTCTCTGTACTGATCATAAGAATCTCAAATACACTGTACCTGAACTAATGAGCAAGTTGGCATAGAATGGGCAGACTATTCAATTTTAACTGTATTTCAATATAAAATGTTTGCATCGCATATAAGGTAAGATATTTGAAACCGTTCTATTTTTCCATCGATTCCAGCCAGATAGCTAAGGTAACACATTCAAATTAGTAACCTCCAATTACAGCTCTAAAACAGCTACAAAGCCATTAACTGAGAAATGTACTAGTTTACAGAGAGAGCTTGAGTACAAGCTTGTTGTTTTTACTGCAAAACATGTCAGTTTAACCCTGTCCAATTAAGGCATTTATATTGTAACAATACTCTCAACAGATTATGAGTTTTAGCAGTATTATTTTCTTCTACTGCTTGTTTATATGGACTTCAGTTAGATAAAAATTCAAGTGCCACTTAACACATGCAGATACAGTATCTTAAAACTCACTAACATGTTCATTGCTAATATTATCTCATCTTTCCGTCAGTTGCTCATGTTCCAAAGGTTAGACTTAAGCCTCACAATATTCAAAACCCTAAGCAAGTACACTACATTCAACAGAATTCTGAAGAAAAATTCCTGATGGAATCAAATAGTAGATGCTCTGTCAAAGTAACGGAATTTCAAGTACTGCTATAAGAGTACTTGAATTCATTTTATTTAATAGTTGTTGAACTTCCTCTGTCTTCTTTTAATGAAACAGTGTGATAAAAAGAGAATATGCCCAACACACGATCTATTTTGGAAAAGTGCATTATAGAAATGCCATGCAGTTTTGAAGGGATTTGTTTCAAGTTTGGGAACAAGTTGTTTTCAATGAGCAGAGAAATATTTAAATAATACCATGGATTACACTATCAGGTGAGGTAACCAAAAGCTGAGTCTGCAAATTAAAAAGTGTGTAAGCACCCCTTGGAACCATGTTACAAAAGATATTCTCTCTGAAGAGATGTAGACAACTTTACTGTATCCAAATGGCAGAAGCTGAGGACAGCTCCTTGATATGAAGCATGTCTAAAATCTGCTTTGCAGCAGTGCATCTTAAAATATAACCCAATCCAATTCTGGGTCACAAGTCTGCTTATTGCACTTCAGCAATTCTGGGAAGAGTGTTAAGCTGTTCTACACTACAGATACCATAACCTTCATGCTGTCTTACTTCTGCTTAGGAAGATCATATAATGAATATGAATAAATCTAATCAGGATTTTTCTACAGTCTAATAATCTGTGATACATTTTTTTTGTGGTCATTTACTCCATAAACACATACTCAACATGTAAGTATAATTTTTTATTTCTATACCGCCCTTCTCCCGAAGGACTCAGGGCGGTGTACAGCCTATTTAAAAACACAAGACAAACATCAATTAAAATTTAAAATTATTAAATAAATTCGGCTCAATTTAAAACCCCAGAAATTTAAAATACCCCAATTTAAAATTATTATGTTGATAGCCCGGCCTGGTGGAACAACAGGGTCTTCAGTGCACAGCGAAATACTCGGAGGTCGGAGTCAGAATCTTCTGCTAAAATGCTTTTTTTTTTTTTTTTTTTTGGGGGGGGGGGGGGATTTGATGCTATATATCAGGGGTGTCAAATTTGATTTCATTGATGGGTTTCATCAGGGTTGTGCTTGACCTCAAGGGGCCAGGGTGGGCGTGGGCATGGTAGGTGTGGCCAGCTCAACGTCACTCGTGTCGGGGATGCCTGTGGTGGCCCGAGCACTTTGCCAGCAAAAATGGGCTCCCGAGCTCAGTTTTCAGCTGCGACAGCCTCCTGCAATCCTCTGCCAGCGAAAACAGAACTCAGGAGAGCCACATGCGGCCCTCCCAAGCTCCGTTTTCACTGGCAGAGGCACTGTGAGCCAATCCTTTGCTGTTTCCAGGGTGGCCCTGCGGGCCAGATCTAAGCACCTTGCAGGCCAGATCCGGCCTCAAGTTTGACACCCCTGCTATATGTGCTGACGGCAACAAGATTATGCATAAAAATGGAAGGACACTTTCATTTCCACAATGGATGAATGGCTGCAGAATTGATGGAGTTAGCAGAGATGGCTAAATTGACTGCTCTAATTAAAGACAAAAATACAGATAATCCCTGGGTTACGAGCATTCCCTTAGTGAACATTCGAAGTTATGTGATAAGCGTCCCTTAGTGCTTACGAACAAGTCCCAAAACTACGAATATTGCAGCATCACAGCAGTTGTTCCCCCACTATGAAAACCGCAGAGGCTCTGCAATATTCATCCTGCCTATTCCCCTCCGCTTCACACTTTGCTTGCCAAAATGAAGTGTCAGAGGGGCGGGTCCACCCCCGACACTCCGTTTTGGCCAGCAAAGTGCTGGGCAAGGCATGCACACCCCAAAATGGAGCTGCAAAGGAGCATGCACAGCTGAGAGGCTGGACATGAAGCAGCTTACTAGATCTTCACACAGTAAGTGACCTGGTGTGGCAGGCTGGGGAGTGGGGGGAAGCAATTGTAGAGAACATGAGGTATTTCAGTGGTTGGGGAGGCCTTGGGTGGTCTTAAGAAGATGGCCTGTTCCATCACTATGCCCCCATGACCTTCCCCAACCTGAAATAACTCATGTGCACTTAACAAGCCTCGCATTTGATTAGTGAATGCGTGGGCGAAAGGAGGGAGTCATCGTATTCAAGGTATAACATTCACTCCCACAAATACTCGGGTTACAAATGGAATGGGCAGGTTCCATTACATTCGTAACTCAAGGACTATCTGTACAACTACTTTCTCTTTCTACTTGGAAGCCATTTCTGGATTTTATGCCCGAGGTGGAAAGGGAGTCAGAAGTCAATGACTTTCTTTCTTTTTTCCTTCTTTTCTACACTTTTCCCTTCCCTATTTTTCCTATCATTTGTTTTTGTATTTTTGTATTGTTATAGTATTAATATAAACTGAATTTTAGAAAATAAAACTAGAAAATAATAGAATATCTTCTGCTAAATGCTTACACTGTATTTTTTTCAAAAAAGGCTAGTAAGGTAACATCAATACCCAAAGGAGATCAAACTACAGAAAACAGCAAACAACTAATGTGATAAATCTAGAACTATATGAAAATAGCAAAGAACGTGCAAGTGAAAAACAGAATTGCCATAGAATGTCTATATTACAGGAGTACTTTTTGTTGATATGGACAATACAGAAATTATTTACCTAGCAACACAGCACAACAGCCCCAGGTTAGTTATAAGCATGCAACTCTCTCTAGGATTCCAGAAAAGCAGAAACCTCTTATTTGTGTGCTAAAACAACAGGCGGTGGTTGTTGCTATCTTCCCAGTGGTTCCTCTGAATGTTTATTTGCTAAGATTTGTTGATGATTGTCTAATTTGGGGCCAATCAATAAAACATTTCTCACTAAAAATCAGTATAAAGGAATTCATAAGCAGAAGACTACCATTAATGCTGTCTCAATTTTGGATAATACCGTAAAGGCAGAAAATTCTACACAAGAAAATAGAAAAATGATAGCTAGTCTAGTATTAATAACAGATCTGCTTCCCCTCCCCCAGTCCTGCTTGCTGCCTCATCATGGTATGGGGGGAGGGGCAAAGAAGACTGGGAGTGTATGCCAAGAATTTATAATCACACTAGGGTCACCTAAGGCAAGAAGGCCATCCCAGCTGACAACAGCTAAAACAACCAGGTATTTATCCATGATACAAGAAGATGTTTGAGGTGGACAGTCACTTTAGTAACAATGACAAAGGCATCACTTCATTTTACATGGAAGAAGGCAAAAGTAAACCACTGCTATATTTTACTAAGAAACCTGCTGGATAGAAAGTATAACATGACTGATGATATAGTCCAGATGAAGGGCCTCCCAGGTTAGATGGTACTCAAAATACTACTGAGGAAGATCTTACTGTTTATTACAAAAGTAGATAAAGCCTTGGAACATCTAATTTGCTGACGTTACTACGCAGGAAAATAAAATCTGACGCTGAAAAGACAATTATAGTGGGAACATGGAACCTAAGAAATGTGAATGTGATTTCGAAAGCTCAACATACTGGAAGAATATGAACCAATCTGAACACTGGCATGTTAGGCATTAGCACATTCAGTAGACTGGAATTGGACGCTTTCAGTTAAAGAT